TTTATAATAGTAAAAGGATTCAAGATTGATGGATTTGTATGAATTGTACTACTATAAGGTACAAAAATTTTTCAACTTGAAAGACTGACAGCTGAAATATATGTGGTGGACTGACTAAGCAGCATGCAGATATTCTTATTAGATAATTCAATAAATCAAAATCAATCTCTGCTGTTAACTTTTTAGAAGTAAATGAAATTAGTGTCTATTTTTTTGGGTTTAAAGTTTCTGCTCATTCCTAGCTTTCTATTATAATTGAGAAATCTTATGTCTAAAAGAGAAAAAAGTGGATTATTTATCATAAAGTATTAATGGGCAAAACAGGAGCCTCTATATAGTCCATTTGAGAAACAGCTCATTCAAAAATGGATGTGAATGTTCACCTATCGCTCTGAGAACTTCTTCCTTGCATATCAGTTATCTTATGGGAAGTGAAGATGGAGAAACAGCAGCGTTGTTTGTCAGTGTCCTCCTGAGATTGTTAGCAATACATCCTGGCACATATTGTTTCAGACAAAAAATTAGTATTTTGCATTAGAAGAGGATAATTAGGCAATAAGATACAAAAGCGAGTGTGGTTATCATGAGATAAACACACACATGGGGTGTTATGAGGCACAGCCAAGTGTCTGTAATCCCTCTAGGGTATGATTATCTCGTGATAACCACACACCCTGGAGTTGCCTTATTGCTATTATAAAATATCTTTATTATAGGAAGAAATGTGCATTTTTGTGCAGAAAGGAGACAGAGCTGGCAATTTAGAATGCCAAACAGCAGTTTCAGCTGAGCTATGTGGTTTACATAGATTAATTTATCCCATTGGAATGTATCCCCAGCCAAAAAAATGTTCCCTAAATCCAAGCAGTCATAATCTGTAGTGATGTGCAGCTATTTGGAGCATTTGAGATATTCCCTGCCTGGTTCTTAGGCTGTTGGTTTGATGGTTGCACTGGGTGAATGCTGAGATGCGTGATGAGAGGATCTACAGTGTTCTGGAAACCCTAACTGTGATTCATGGGAATGCCAAAATTCTGTGCCGTAATTTTATCTGGTTCCTTGATCAGAATAAATGTTTGAAATTCCTTATGGAAACAGTGTCTAACAACAGAAAAGTCGTAATGGAGAGAAATGATTAAGGTGGAAACAGAATGAGCTGAAACTCAAAATGACAAGGAAGAGTTAATGTCACAGACAAGAGATCAGTCTGCTGGCCTCAAGTTTGTAAAGAAACTGAGGGCTTTACAGCTACAGAAATGAAGGTTGCCGCAAAATATGACGGACATCCGTTAATATCTGGATTATAATCATAAGAAGTGGACCTATTCTCTGTGGCTCTAGAAACAGAATTCATTTAAATGAAAGTCATGGAGAAAAGGATTTCACTTTACTGTAAGAATCTATTTTTAAAATTTGAGTGTTACAAAATATAACTGTCATTCTTGAAAAAAAGATTCAAGCCAAGACTGAGTGATATATTAAGGGGGTATCCTCCATTAGATATTGTCCCCCATATCTCAAAAATTGATTCTACAATGAAAATAAAATTATGAATGCACATAAAATCTGAGAAGATACAACATCTCTTCAAATGCAACAACTGAAAAGAGATCATAAATCCAAAACATTTCGCAGGTACTTTCTAATAGGAATAGAAATTAGCAGGTCTCAGATAGTTTTAAGTGTACTAAGCACACTAAGATTCAGTTGTATTAGCAAATCCTTTACACTTACTTACACATCCAAGATGTCACAAGTCCTGTTTGATAAAAAAAAACTACAATTCTCTTTTCTGTGCCTCTGATAAATTATTAGCCTAATATTCTAAAACTGTGATGAAATCAGAAGATGGGCAGTAAACATTTTATTTCAATAAACAAATTAGGTAAAATCAGCAACAGACCAGCCTATAAATTGGGTGTCAAAAAAAATCAGTATTTATACTTACGTTTGATCAGCCAAATCTTTGGGGGAAAAAATCCAGAAAATTTAGCCCAGCTTTGTTATTTTCATGGTAGTCATCAAAATGTGTCAACTCTAATGTAAGACTGTTGTTAAGATGGGATATAAAATCAGTGTAATTGATTTAATTTTTTAAAAAACCTCCTAAGAATATATGCCATACCTTTTTAAATGCAGCAAAGCCAATAGTTGGTTTAAATGTAAAAATAAATTTTGTCTAGAGATCCACTACCCAGCCATGGTGAAGGTTTATTGGTTTCTGCATATTCACTGATATGCTTTCATGTAAAATCAATGCCTCACAGTCTAATGTATTATGTTATGGTGTGGGATCTATAAGCTAAAATACATATTTGATGTATAACTCCACATCTTTATTTTACAATAAACCTTGCCATGGGGAAAATTTAAAGGGGCACCATTTGTTTTCTAAATATGCAACAGCATCTTTCACATAACTGACAATTGTTTCAACGGAACGCTATCATTTCTAGCCTAAATCCCCATCTTTTAATTTAGCCCTAGGCCATACCTTTTAAAGAAATTGCCATCCATGAAATATCAGATGCTCTAACAGGGCCAGACTTGTGTACCTCCCTAGTAGAGCTGTGTGAAAAATTTCACACCTACACTGAAACTGCCAAAATATGCTTCTTCACTCTTTTCAGTACCAAGGGGAAAACATATACTTTTTCCCTTTGGGCAGTTTTGACAGCTTTAACACAAGTGAAAAACAGGTTTTGCCAGCATTAAAAAAGGGAAAAAATTATAACGTGAGAACCTCATAGTTTTAGGCAGAGGTAGAAGAGAGAAGCTGAAAATCTGGGCTAATACTCAGTCTCGGCCAAGGCCGGCTACGTGATCAGCAGTATTCAGCGGCTTGCTAGGGGAGATCACTGCAAGTAAAAGAGACTAAACACTTCAAGGGTAAAGTCAATACTAAATAAAAATAATAAAAAACGGCAATAAAACTGGAGTCTCCTGCAGCATTTTCCCTCAGAGCTGGATCATAAAGTCAATTACTTCTAAGAATCACCCCACATTACTGCGGGCCCCCACCCTGTGTACTGTCAAAATTTAGAAATTTTCTTTGGCTGTAGGGAGAGAGATAAAAATATAAAAGTCAACTAATATATCCCTGAGGCATCTTGTTGTCCTATGGAAAAAATCACCCATTGCTCTTCACTTTCTTTCTCTTGAAATTTTTGAGGAATCCTGTGCCTCTATAGGAAAGAAAGAAGCTGCTTTGCTGAAAGCTTTTTAAGTAGAAAATTGTCATTTACAATGACCACTTTCCTCAATCACTGCACTCCCAAAACACTCAAAAGATTTTGGAAAAAAATAATAGGTCTAGAAAATGCATACATATATAGCTCTGGGGATTCAGCCAAGCAGAGAATCCTTCTGGACCCCTGAATTCCTATAGCATTTTTACACTCTTTAGTCATGCTTTAAAACAATTGAATACCAAACATAAACATCAAGTCAATGGAAAATGAAAATGTGCTGAACTGTTCTGCATCCACCCAGACTCATCTGGTAGAACGCTATACTTACAGAACACGTGGAATGAATTTTAACTTGACTCTTATGTGGGAGTCTCTACTACATGCAATTCAAAGCATTTACATAAAGATGCATCTTTTGTCACTTTGAAGATAGGTTTAGTGTGTATTGAGAGACAAAGATTGATCAGCCTTTTACATGATGAAGGGAAGTGGCTGTTTCCTCCTTTAGTTTTTGTAATAATCTTTCTTACAAGAGGGACAATTCTGAGTTCGGTCCTCGTAATTTAGAAAAAACTGCTGGTAAAGAATTTGGGGATTTGTCCTCTGGATTATTTTATACTTTGTCCAATAATGAAAATAGTTATTTGTTTAGATGCTGTTGTTGTAACTTTTCTGGGCACAATCATTGTGGATTGTTGAATTTGTGAAACACCCAAGCATAAGATAAGCAGAAGCCTTACCACATGTCAACATTTCTGGGGGGAGAAGGCAGAGAGGGAAATGTATTTTCATGATTTTATAAAGTAACATGGACTCTTCCAGTGATCTCACACTAACTTGGTGCTGTCATCCAGAGCTGAGGACCCACTTTGTCTCCTGAGGATTCCTTCCAATCAGCCATCTTCCAACACGATGGTTCTGGGAAATGGGGCTGAACTTAACACTGCCTTGTCACTCTCACTGGGCCTTCCACTGAGTTACCTCCTGCTACTGTCCTCTGCTTGCATCCCCATGCCTGCTAATCCCAGCTCCAGCCCAACAACTCTGGCCTTAATGCCACCTACACTGCCCAGAACCACTCAGGCATGTGCTCCTGGAACTGCCTCCCAGTCCTGCCTTGCCCAGAAACCCTGGACGGCTGCACCCAATTAATTCCAACTGTGTTTCCCCCATTAGGTCTTACAGACTTTGGATGAAAAATGTTGAAAATTTTTAGTTTTCTCTGTCCTGAAGACTCACTCAGATATGTGTGTAGGAGCGGAGATAGAAAATATGTGCCTGTGGCCAGTTTCATGTTATCCTCAGCACTGTTCCTTTTCTTCAGTAATGGAAGAAATACTATGGGCTTCCTCTTAGGTCAATTTCCTTTCCAGATGCTGCTCCTGCTCTACCCGACTCCCACACAAGGAAACATACACCGACCATAGAGATAGACGGCGGCAGACAGTGATTTTCTTCCAGTGTCCATTTGCTCCTTCTTCGTTCTAGAGATAGAACCTTTCCACAGTCCACCTCTGGAACTCATCAGGCCATGTGGCAAGTCAGCTAGACATCATATTTCCCATCTGTGACTCAGATGGTGCAGTGTGACTCAGTGACTCAGTTCTTGCAGTAGGTTTAACAAGTGACTGTTTAAGGTTTCTGACCTTAAAGACTATCCCATATACATTCTCTCTCTCCTTGGACCTTTCTTCTGGCTGGGAAATTATAACAGCTGAATCAGGTTCCTGAGCGGAGATGAAAGCCACCTACTGAGGATGCAGAGTGAATCCAGTGGTGTGAGGACTTCACGTCCTCCAGCTTGTATGCTCATCTCTGGACTGGCACATGGGTGGGAAATAGACATCTAATTTGTTTGTTCCACTCCAGCTTTAAGTATCTTTTTAACAGCATTTTAAACTGTATTCTAGCCAATATACTAGGGTTGAGAAGAGAGGAGATATTTTATATGTATTTTATCATATAACAGTAAGTATAATAATTCATGAACTCAGAGTTATGAATTATAGAAAGAATCACCTTTCTTTTGTATTCTGGCAGCAGATGCTTGGGAGGAAATCATTCCACAGTTCCACATCACAGAAATACTAACAAAAGATGACTGGATACCTTTAAGATTGGGACTAGCAGAGGCTGCAAATATAAGGAAGAAAATGAAGTATCTCAAGGAGAAAAATGAAGTTGTATGTGAAAATTGAGTATATAAGTAAGAACTTTGTGGACCATAAAGTATTAGTTACATATTCATAATTATTACTTTTTACTGAAATAATCCTTGTGGTCAACCAGTTCAGAGACCTAAACAATATATTTCTGCTAGTATTTCAAATATACTTTAACAAGCAGAAAATGGTATGTTTTAATTGTATTCATTCACTCTATATTTTGAGTCAGATACAAAAGATCCTGACACCATATGTCACACAAGGTCAATGTAACAGTGATCCTACAAAAACTGACTTGTTTCATATACTCTTGAATTCAGATATTCATGCAGAGCACTAAAATGTCACTAAACAGCAAATTTCTATACTGCACATTTGATCTATGTTTATGTATATATAATACATGCAGGCAGAAAAATATACAGAACAAATGAACAGTGCTTAAGACAGGGTTAGTGGAATGCTTTTTAGGAAAATTATAAGGAAACAATAACAAAATCAGTAACTAGTTTAAAGAGTAATTGGATGAGAGGAGAAGGGTAATTCTATGGGGTTGCACAAAACAGGAAGCTCACATTTTTTCCTACTTGGAATCTGTAAGAGACATTCTGAATATTGCATACCTCTTTGTATATGCATGGCTACATAATGGCCTTGTCTTCTCATGAAGATAACTGGTTTAGCCTGTGAAATGTTCATTGATCTAAGTGGATGGGTCTGAGGGGAAGGGCTTGTCAGCTGGGACAGCTTATCAGAGGAGGGTTGTTCTTCCCACCCCCCTTCTTCCTATTTATTCCTAAACCAGAGAAAATTCCCCTGGGAGCATGGAGGCCTCAGAGGGAACATTGCAGAGACTCAAGAGATGAGAAACGGTTTGTAAATGAGTATTTAAAACATGAAAACACTCTTGTTTTTAAAGCCAATGAGTATAAAGTACCGGTGGGAGACGTGAGTTGACAGCTGGGACTCTTCATCCGTCTGGCTGAGGGATTTTGAGTCAGTCTCTGACGGATGAAAAGTAGGACTGGGAGAACTCGGGCCTGTCAGAATCTGCTCAGAATTCCTGGGCTTGCCATTTCAAACCAAATTCAAACCTTCCAGAGCTTGAGATTAAAGAGAGTGTTTACAGAAAAGTAAAAGAGGCTTGAAAATGCTTATTAAGAGGCATCTTAGAAATCTTTATAAAGCGTCATCTGTGATGATTTACATGCAAATGAGTTGGAATGTGCTTGGCATACATTATGTAGGGTTTTCAGATTTGATCAAATCCATGCTGATCATGGAAAAAGAAATACATATACATACGGCCTCTGGAGAGTCTGATGCAGGGATGGCTTGTCCATCCCTGGTCTGAAGCAGAAAAGGGATAAGGAAGGACACATGAGTGCTTTCTATTGGGTCACTTAAGGACTTTTGCTCTTAGGGCTACATTCTGAGCCCAGACATATGGCCAGAGGTCTGTGTGAGTATCAGATGCCCTCAGAGCTTCAGGTGTGTATTGGAGAAGACTTGAGCAGGAATTTACACCATGTCTGAAAGATCCCACAAGCTATAGTCTTAGCCCAGTGTTTTTTAGGGGTCTGTGCTGCTTCTGCCAGGAGGTTTTAGGCTCCCTGCTGGTCTCTGGTCTGAAGTGACCTATCTCAGTGGCAGAACCAGAACCAGGATCCTGGGACTTTGCTACTCACAATCTGGACTACTAAAGAGGTTTCTGGAAGTTCAGGAAGTTGCCACAGCCTGTAAGATGTAAAATGTAGATAAAGACAAAAAAGTTATCACTAGGTCCTCAAACTACCAGGAGCAGGAAAGCCACAAGGTTATAAAACAAGCTAAAACAGGTCTTTTTGAAAAACTTATTGGACTGCTGAGTTCTTACCTAAGGCTAAGAGACTAATGTTCAGCACAAAAAAAACTGGGTCCTAGAAACTGCAAAGAACAACCAATTATGTAACGGAGTATGTGTTGCTCCATCAAATAGAGTTGCCAGCTTTGTACATTACCTGTCATAGCATTCTCTGACTATCAGGTCATCATTAGCCCAGCACTCCCCAGGTTTCCTTGATTTTCTCCCCTAGCGTCTCCTAAAATAGACAACTCAAGCTTAGGGTCAAAATTGGCACTGAAGAAAAAGATGAATTAGGCAAAAGTTTGGGGTGCCTATTCCCTCTTCATCTGCCCCTTTCCTGCCCGTGTCCATGTCCTTCTTTACATCACATCCTCCCCACACCCCAGTTCCAGGTGGACTCTTTATACTTAAAAATAAGAGTTAGCCAAGATGACCACTAAAGATTTTTGACCTCAAAAGATATTATTGCTATGTTTAAAAATGAATAAACCCCTAGGTAATAATTTAGTTTGTTTCCACAAGTCCTTAGTTTATCCATTAGTGTTTCACTGTGTAAATCTGATTCTCAATGCAAAATGCAATTTTCCTGAGACCATTCAAAGGAAGGGACTCTCATGAAAGGCTCCCTTACAGAGGTGTGGTCAGGGTCAAGAGCATAAATAAAGAATGGCAAGGAACCTAGAAACCAGCAAGAGAAAAACATTAACACTGCTAAGGCTCGGAGAGCAAGTGGGAAACAGTATTACTGCAGCCCGGATGGCTGGGGTCAAAGGAGGAGGCATCTATTTCTAGAGGTGTAACGCCAGAGCAGGGAAGGGCCAGGGAGAAATGCACCAAACATGCTGTCCTCCATTGGTTGGACCCTGCCAGAAGCTAGGGGGTGAGAAGCCCAGTTGTAGTCTGTAGGGGTCAAACAACTGGGAGCACTGAGCAGGTGCAGGTACAGAATGGATTAGTGAATGGGGTGGAAGGTAAAAACAAATCAGCGCATTAATCTAATCCTAATCTTTTTCCTGTAGCTTGATGAGGATGTTCCTTTCCAACACTCTACATTCTACACTGTATTTAAGTCATTCCAACATCTGGTTGTAGGAATTCAGATAAGCTCAGTTTCAAAATGTTATCCATAACTATCATAATAACTTCCCAATTGTTTTTTCTTTTTTCTCACCTATCACCATGTTCTCAATAGTCTATCTAGTCTTCTTAAAATACTACACAATTCAGCTAGTCTCTTACTTAATACCCAGCTCAAATGCCACCACTTGTATCATGATTTTCTTAATTGTCCCAGGAGGAGATGAGGCCTCCCATTTTTGAGTTCTTAGAGTATACCATCTGAGCCACTTGTGTGTTATTACCTGCCTTCTAGTACTCTGGAAAATTACATAAAGGTGTTCTTCCTTCATTAGATCAAATCTCCTTAAAAGTTGGGATGGTTTCTTGCACATGCCTATATACCTCACTAGGTCACTGGGTTCACTGACTTTCTACATAGTAATCACACCTGAAACATTTACTAGAGGAATGAACTTGTGGATGAATATACCATCCATCTCTCTCCCTTCCTTGCTTGACAGTCCCATTTGATATATAATTATCAGTTTAAATATCACTTCCTCTAGGAAACCTTCCTTAACCCTCATCTCCTCCCAAGGATTTCGGGTATATGTTGGGTACCTTGTGCTTTGACTATTATGGCACTTAACATAGTCATACAGTTTTTAAATGGTAGTACCATGGTTCAGATTAAGTTATATATGATTCCAGAGGTCATATTTCTTCTCAAGAGAAAGTAGGAGGGAAAAATTATATTTAGGCAATGAGATAAGAAAACACTTCATGGCAAAGGTGGTAATTGAGATAAATGCTTAAAGTATAATGGGTTTTGGCAGGTAGATAGGGCAAGCATTATACAAAGAGAGGATGAAGTGCATAAAGGTATGGACCTACTGTAACGCAGACTGTGTTTGAAGCATCATGGGAACTAAGGCTGCTTGTGGTTGGTGCCACAATGTAGAGGAACTTTGTTGTAGGAGCCTATTGCTAGAATCCAGGAACACTCTAGGACACAGTGCAGAGTGGAGAAGGATGGAGAATGAATCTAGCCACATAAAAGAATATATCTGGCAAGCTAGTTAAGATGTTTTGGATGTGAAAAGTCTAATTTGTTATTCTTGTTGCTTTTTTAACAAAGGGCCTTCAGGAATACAGCTTTAACTCACATAAGTGACTGTGGACTCAAAAATCTTACCACTGGGTATATTCTTTATATGTGTGGTTGTAGGAGCAGGTAGTGAAGAATATGTATTGCTATAGATTGTCACTCAGGCAGAGGTAATCTAATGGCAAACCTCTCACATGAGATGTAAGAGACTTAAGGGAGGAGATTTGGCCTGCAACATTATAATGTTCTGCATTGTAGAATGGTTAGAGTTAACCTTCTGCTATGTGCTCTATTGCGTATATACAAACTGATGTAATGGTTATTAGAAAATTATTTTTAAAATAATTAAAAATCTCTCAGCCACTTTTTCTTCAAATATTGTATATGCCCCATTCTCTCTTATCCTACTAAGGTTGCAATTATGTACTTTCAGTGCATCCTATGTGTCTCTTATGCTCTTATTTTTTCCATTATTTTTTCTCTTGTATTTTAATTTGGATATTTCATATTCATCCATATTCCAAGTTACTAATCTTTACTCCACTGTTTAATCTACTATTGGATCTATCTATTGAATATTTTCAGTTTTAGTTTACAATTCCAGAATTTCTATTTGATTTTACTTTATAGTTCTAATTTTCTGGTGAAATTTGCCATTTTCCATCTATTTTACCTATCTTTGTATATTTTGTAAACATATCTTTGATAGTTTATTTCAATATTGGCTAATACAATTATTTAGATCATCTGCTTGTCATCCCTTTTTCTTGTTTTTTTTGGAGGGGATGGGTGTTGTATGGTTCACTCTTGGCATAACTAATTATTTTTGACTAAATGGTAGATACTGTATATAAAAAATATCACAGAAACTCTGATATTTTCTTCCATAGAGGATAACCGTTCTTTCTACTAGGCAGATAAAGTAGAAGCTTATCACCTTAATTCAACAAGCACTGAGCTGAGCTACAACAAGACTGTAGGTTTAGTAAAGCTCAGATTACCTCTAATTTATCCTTATTCTGAGGGCATAGTTCTCTGGTTTTCATTTTAGGAACTGGTATGTTCACCGGTTTTTGGCAGTGGGAGGAAGTTCTGTACTCAAAACTCTTTTTTATAATAAAGGGAGTCTGCAAAAATGATCCTTCTTTGCTTTTTATAGGTGTTCGACTAGGTCTCATGGGCTCCTGTTCCTTGCAGCTTCAGAAGTCAGTAAATACTTTGAAAGGGAAACCTGCTGTATATCAGGCCCATTCTCTATCCCTTCCTTCTCACTGTGACCTTAAGCCCTCAAGTTTCCAGTTTTGTCTCTCCATTCTCACATAACTGATTATTTCTCTGTGACACATCAGTGACTCTCTATCCACACAAAACCTGGATTCTCAAGTTTTTATGCCTAGAATAAATAAATGACTTTAAAGGAAAGTGGATATGGAATGTAAGCTTACTTTTGCAGTTTCCCCTTTCTATAAACATTTTTCCCTCCTGGGTCCAAGATGGCAGTATAAAAAGAGCCTGAGTCCACCTCCTCCCATGTACACCCTAAATCTACACCTACACACAGAGGAATTCATGCTGAGGAAGAATGGAGGTCTGAGTGAACACCTTCTGCAAAATGATGAATAAAAGACCACATGAAAAATGGCAGGAGAGACAGAGACATGGTAATGGAGGGGCTCCATTCCCAGCTCATCAACAGGGAAGGCTATCCTGAGCTACCTGAACGCAGACTTACCTTGTCCTTAGACACAGAAAAAAAGCCACCAGTTGGAGGGTTTAAGTCTGAATATCAAAAAGCAAGGGAACTGCTGGAACTCTCTCCAGGACTGGACATGCTATTTAGCACAAATGGAAGCAGGGTACCTTTTGTTTGCATTCACAGACACTGCTAGTGCCAATAAGAGCAGGGTGAGTTCGTTTACATTCTTTCTGGACACTGCTAGTGTGAATGGGAGCCGGGTGGGCCCCATCATCATTTGCATCCCCTCCACCCCCTGGACACTGTTAGAACAAACTGGAGCAGAGTGAGTGTCATTGTTTTGTGTTCTCTACTGAAACTGCTAGAGTTAGGTCAGCAACATTATTTCTGTCCCCACACACAGTGATGGTGCAGACATGAGCTGAGTCAGAGGGAACACGCCAGTTCCAGAAGTGATGGAAGAAGCCTCCTGGCCTCCGCCCACACCCAAAAATGCCTCTCAAAGATCCAGCAGTCCCACCAAGATGCTACTTGTGCAACACTCACATGGCTTCAATCTGTCCACATCCTTCCCATTCCTGGTTGCCGTGTTTACACAGCCCCACCTCAGTGCCAATGTGGGAAACCCCTGGACTTCACCATCAATCCCCAGCTACCCCATTAGCATGGCCCCAGCTGGTGCCCACCAAGGAAACCCATTGACTGTGCCCTTCCACTCCTAGAAACCCTACCAGAGAAATCCCAGCACATTGCCCACAGAAGACTGTGACCCTCTGACACAGGCCACCCCACCAGTGTGGCCCTAGGTGCAACCACAAAGGAGACCCTGGCCTATGGCCTGGGAATCCCAGCACCATGCCCATCTGGCCTTCAACCAGCCCATGCCGCCTGGCACACACAGTCTACCAAGAGGACATTGCTACACAAGTCCACAGTTTCAAAACTTGGAGATGTGTCCTACTGCCTAATCTATAAACACAGAATGCAAAACAAAAGGAAGAGACACAGAAATATGCTTGAAACAAAACGAACATGATAAAACATCAGAAAAAGAACTGAATGAAACAGAGTTAAGAAATCTACCTGATAAAGAGTTTAAAGTAATGGCTATAGAGATGTTCACCAGAGTTAAGAAAAGTGCAGATGCGTTCAGTTAAAACCTCAAAAAGAGATGGAAAATATAAAAAAAGAACTAATCAGAGTTGAAGATTAGAATAAATGAAATGAAAAATACATTAGAAGGAAACAATAGATTAGAGAATGCAGAAAAATGGATCAGCAGTGTGGAAGAGAGAGTAATGGAAAGCACTCAAGCTGAACAGAAGAAAGAAAAAGAATGAAAAGAAATTAGGATAGGTTAAGGGACCACTAGCACAACATCAAATGTCCTAACATTCACATTATAGGAGTCCCAGAAGGAGAAGAGAGAGGGAGAGGGGTGAAAAGTTATTTAAAGAAATAATAGCTGAGAACTTTACTACCTTAGGGAAGAAAACACAAATCCAGGACTAGGAAGCACGAGGAGCCCAAGACAAACCCAAGGAGATCCAGCAAGAAACATAATAATTAAAATGCCAAAGATTAAAGACAGAATCTAAAAGCAATGAGAGAAAAGCAACAAGCTACCTATAAGGGAAACCCCATAAAGCTATCAGCTGGCTTTCATCAGAAAATCTGTAAGCAAAAAGGAAGTGGCATGATATATATTTAAAGTGGTGAAAGAAAAAGACTAACAAATAAGAATACCCCACCCAGCAAGTTTATCATTCAGAATTGAAGAAGAGATAAAGAGCTTCTCATATAATCATAGGTTAAAGGAGTTCACCACCACTAAACCAGCCTTATAAGAAATGTTAAAGGGACTTCTTTAAGAGAAAAAGAAAAGGCCATTACTATAAGCAAGAAAAATATGAGAAGAAAAAAAAACTTCACTGGTAAAAGCAAACAGGTAGCAATGGTAATAGATCAATTACTTAAAAGCTAGTATGAAGATTAAAAGATAAAAATAGTAAAATCAACTACTTCTAAAAGTTAAGGGAATCACTAAATAAAAAGGTATAAAATAAGACATCAAACACATAAAATATGGAGGAGGGGGGTCAAAAATGTAGTGCTATTAAAATGCATTCAAACATAAGCAACCATCCAAACATAAGCAACCATCAATTTAAGATAGGCTGGCATGTATACTTATATACACATATACTCATATATATAGACATATACATATACATCTCTATATATACACATATGTATAAACCACATGGTAATGACAAACTAAAAACTTATAATAAATACACAAAAAAATGAATAGAAAGGAATCCAAACATAACACTAAAGAAAGTCATCACACATGCACAAGGGAAGAGAGCAAGAAAGGACTCGATAAAAATGACAAAAACAACCTAAAAACATTTAACAAAATGGCAATAAGTACATATCTATCAATAATTGATTTAATTATAAATGGCTTAAATGTTCCTATCAAAAGACATAGGGTCACTGGATTAAAAAAAAAGAGAGAGACCCATTTTATGCTGCCTATAAGAGATTCACTTCAGACCTTAAGAGACACACAGACTGAGACTGGAGGGATGGAAAAAGATATTCCATGCAATTGGAAACCAATATAAAGCTGAGGTAGCAATATTTATTTCAGACAAAATAGAGTTTAAAACAGACTGTGAGAAGAGAAAAAGGATGTTATGTAATGTTAAGGGTTCAATCCAGCAAGAAGCTGTAACAATTGTAAGTATCTATGCACCCAACATAGGAGCACCTAAATACATAGAGCAAATGTTAGCACATGAAGGGATAAATTTCCAGTAACATAATAACAGTAGAGGATTTTAACACCCCACTTACATCATTGGATAGATAATCCCAACAGAAAAATCAATAAGAAAGCAGTGGCTTTGAATATAACAGTGGATCAAATGGACCTAATAGATATCTACAGAATATTAAATCCCCAAACAGCAGAATACCCATTCTTTTCAAATACACATGGAACATTCTCCAGGATGGATCACATGTTAGGCCACAAAACAATAGCCTAAATTTAAATTTAGGAACATTGAAATCATAATTAGCATCTTTCCTAAAACAGTTGGAAACTAGAAATCAATAACAGAAAAAAAAACTGGAAAGATACACAGATATGTGGAGGCTAAAGAGCATGCTTCTAAACAACAAATGGGTCAATGAAGAAATTTAAGAGGAAATTGAAGAATACTTAGAGGATAATGAAAACAGAAACACAACAGTGCAAAATCTTCAGGATGTAAATGCAATTCTAAGAGGAAAGTTGATAGCCTTACAGGCCTACCTCAAGAAAAAGAAAAATATCAACCTAGCCCTACAACTGAAGGAACTAGAAAAAGAAGAAACACAGATAAATGTTAGTAGAAGGAAGGAGATAGTAAACATCAGAGTAGAAATAAAATAGAGACTAAAAATATATCACAATTGATCAAGGAAACTTGATATTGGTTCTTTGAAAATATAAAAAATATTGATAAATCTTTAGCTAGACTTTTCAGGAAAAAGTAAAGCCTCAAATAAAATCAGAAGTAAAAAGAAGAAGTTACAACTGCCACCACAGAAATACAATTAAAAGAGAGTACTATGAAAAATTATATGCCAACAAGTTGGACAACTGAGAAAAATAATGGGTACATTCCTAGAAACATGCAATCTCCCAACACTAAAACAGGAAAAAATAGTAAATCCAAATAGACTGATTGCTAGTAATGAAATTGAAGCAGTAATCAAAAAACTCCTACCATCAAAAGTACAGGACCAGGTGGCTTCATGGGAAAATTCTACCAAACATTTAGAGTTACTACCTATCCTTCTCAAACCATTCTAAAACATTGAAGAGGAAAGAAAGCTTCCAAATATATTTTATGAAGCCAGTATCAACTTAATAGCAAAGCCAAAGAAAATTTTTTACAAAAAAAAGGAAATTTACAGATTGATATACCTGGTGAACATGAATTGAAAAATCCTCAAAAAATATTAGCAAACTGAATTTAAAAATATATCAAAAATATTATTTATCATGTCCAAATGAGGTTTATTTAGGGATGCAAGGATGGTTCAATATCCATGAATCAGTCAATATAATGCACATTAAAAAATTAGAGATAAACATGGTCATTTCAATAGAGGCTGGAAAAGCATTTGACAAAATTCAGCATCTATTCATGTTAAAAACTCTCAATAACGTGGATATAGAGGGAACATACCTCAACAGAATAAGGGCCATACATGACAAACCCACAGCCAACATCCTATTCAGTGGCAAAAAGCTGAAAATTTTTCCTCTAAATCAAGAACAAAACAAGGATGGCCACTCTCACTACTTCTTTTCAACATATAACTGGAAGTCCTAGCCATAGCAAATAGGCAAAAATAAAATAGCAAATAGCAAAAATAAAAGCCATGCAAATTGATAAGGATGAAATAAAATTATCTGCAGATGACATGATACTATACATAGAAAACCCTTAAAGGCTCCACTAAAAAACTACTAGAATTACCAATTCAATAAAGTTGCATGATACAAAATCAATATACAGAAAACAGTTAAAATTCTATATACAAATAATGAACAGAGAAATTAAGAAATCAATCCCATTTATAATTGATCAAAAAGAATGAAACATCTAGGAATAAATTTAACCAAGAAAGTGAAAGATATTGGTGAAAGAAATTGAAGAAGACACAAATAAATGACAAACTATTCCATGGTCATTGATAGAAAGAATTAATATTGTTAAAATGATAATACTAAATGGACTAATAGTTACCAAAGGGGAGGATGGGTGGGAAGGGAGGGATAAGGGGAAAAAGGGACATGATTAGCACACATAATGTAGGGGGGGCACGGGGAAGGCAGTATAGCACAGAGTAGACAAGTAATAATTCTATAGCATCTTACTACACTGAGGGACAGTGACTGTAATGGGGTATGTGGTGAGGACTTGATAATGGGGGGAATCTAGTAACCACAATGTTGCTCATGTAAGTGTATATTAATTATACCAAAATAAAAAATAAAATGGTAATCCTGTCCAAAGCAATCTCCAGATTCAATACAATTCCTCTGAAAATACCAATGG